GGCCGTTCCCAGCACGAGCAGGGCCGTACCCAGCACGAGCACGGCCGTACCCAGCACGAGCACGGCCGTACCCAGCACGAGCACGGCCGTTCTCAGCACGAGCACGGCCGTACCCAGCACGAGCAGGGCCGTACCCAGCACGAGCAGGGCCGTACCCAGCACGAGCACGGCCGTTCTCAGCACGAGCACGGCCGTACCCAGCACGAGCACGGCCGTACCCAGCACGAGCACGGCCGTTCTCAGCACGAGCACGGCCGTACCCAGCACGAGCACGGCCGTTCTCAGCACGAGCACAGCCGTACCCAGCACCAGTACAACAGCAGCCAATGCCAGCTCAGAAGCAGCTGAAGCAAGCACAGCAGCAGCAAGCACCAGCAAAGCTGATGCAAACATCTAAGACATCGTGTGTGGAGTGTACAGTTAGAATAAGTGTTAAATTTAAGTACATAGTGTTAATATTAAAATAATGGTTGCAGTACAGTAATTTTAGTGTAAAATAGTTTTCATAAACTATTGTAATACTCAACACACAGCAGAACTCTTTATCAATACAGTGCTAATGACTTAATACAGTATAGTACATATTTACTGTACATCATTCACAACTCCGTGAATTCAAAATGGACATAACTCCAACAATAAGGTAAATAACAACTGTAACACAGTATTTTCTGGGGGGAGCCTCGTCGGCTCCCCGGAGCTATCCAGGCTGAATGGGTATGTATAACTTTCTGGCATCAATGTGCTAGGAGTTCTTGCCTACCAGGGACCACAAGCCAGAACCCAGCCCCCTCAGAGAGGAGGAGGAGCGAGAGCACGAGGAGCAATGGCCTATTGAAACCCCCCCTGTGGTTGGGAGCATTCTGTGTTTGCTTCCGAATGTATCCCCTGCTTTCCCAGCCCCTGGTCTTCTTCCAGCCCCAGGCAGGCCCAGGCAAGACCTAGGCCCTCCATCCCCCACTCCACCTCCCCCCAAACCCCTGTCAACTACACCACAGGAGGGCATGCCCTCTCCCCAAGCAATCCCTGTCCCCTCACCCCCAGGACTTCTACCTGACCCAAGCAGGCCTGAGCAAGACCTAAGCCCACCATCACCCACTCCACCTCCCCCTGAATCCCTGGCAACTACCTCACAGGAGGATGAGCCTACCCAAGAAGCAATGGAACAACTTCCTACACTTGTGGGGAGTGAGGTGAAATAGGATATAAGAAAGTGAGCTTCAAGGTAATGTACTCAAACATTGATCAAGTGAATAAATCTTATTCAAGTGAATAAGAATTTCTGCCAATAAATCAAGTGAACTGGCAGAAAGGGCGCAAGAAGAAAACCCTGATGTAATAGGACTCACGGAAACAAAATTGTCAGCAGTCATAACAGATGCTGTGTTTCCAAAGGACTACTATATAGTAATGAAAGAGAGAGGGAAGGGAGAGAAGGTGAAGGAGTGGCCCTGCTGTTAAGGAAGGACTGGAGTTTTGACGAGATGGAAATTCCGGCCTGTGACGGGTTCAGAGATTACATAACAGGAACTATAACAATGGGTGGACCTAAGATAATAGTGGCAGTCATTTACAACCCTCCCCTAAATGACAGAAGACCCAGACAGGAGTTTGATAGGAACAACATGGCAACCAATAATATAATAGAGAGAGCAGCTTCAGTTGCCTGCAGGAATGGCTCAAGACTTTTAATCATGGGCAATTTGAACCATGGAAAGATAGACTGGGAGAATGGGGATCCACATGGTGGTGCAGATACATGCAGAGCTAAACTCTTGGAAGTGGCAACAAGGAACTTTCTGAGCCAGCATGTCAGGGAACCCGCAAGAGTGAGAGGCAATGATGAACCAGCTAGACTCGACCTTATATTCACCTTGAATGAGTCAGAAATAAAGGAAGTCAAAGTTGAAGCCCCCATAGGAATGAGTGACCACAGTGTACTGACTTTTGAGTACTTAGTGAAGGTAGGGATAACCTATCCAAGGATGGGATCGGAGGGGAAAAAACTAAATTACCGAAGAGGAAAATATGACGAGATGAGGAACTTCCTAAGGGGAATACCATGGGAAACAGAACTTAGAGACAAGAATGTGCAGGACATGATGAATTTTGTCACCCAGAAGTGCCAGGAAGCTGCAGACAGGTTTATCCTGGTCCAAAAGGAGAAAAACGAAAAACAGAAAAACCCATGGTTCAACCAGGAATGCAAGGTAGCGAAGCAACTGAGTAAAAGAACATGAAGAAACTATAGAAATAAGAGAACACCGGAGAGCAGGGAGAGATACCAGAGGGCCAGAAATGAGTATCTCAGAGTGAGGAGGGAAGCAGAGAGACAGTATGAAAATGACATAGCGAGTAAAGCCAAGACCCAACCAAAGCTGCTCCACAGCCACATCAGGAGGAAAACAGCAGTGAAGGAACAAGTGATGAAATTGAAAAAAGGGGAGAACAGATACACAGAATAACAAGGTGTGTGAAGAACTCAACAAGAGATTCCAGGAGGTCTTCACAATAGAACAAGGAGAAGCCCCTGCACTAAATGAGGAGGAGGCAAACTAAGCAACCTTGGAGGAATTTGACTTCACCTGTGATGAGGTCAAAAGGTGTCTGCTGGAGCTGGATGTGACAAAGGCTGTTGGGCCTGACAGAATCTCACCATGGATACTAAAGGGAGGTGCAGAAGCACTAAGTGTGCCACTCTCTATGGTGTATAACAGGTCACTGGAAACAGGAGACCTACCAGGAAGTTGGAAGACAGCTAACGTAGTCCCAATATACAAGAAGGGTGACAGGCAAGAGGCACTGAACTACAGGCCAGTTTTCCTAACTTGTATACCATGCAAGGTGATGGAGAAGATCGTGAGGAAAAGGCTAGTAGAACATCTGGAGGGAAGTAACTTTGTAACACACAACCAACATGGGTTCAGAGATGGTAAATTGTGCCTCACAGGTTTAATAGAATTCTATGATCAGGCAACAAAAATTAGGCAGGAAAGAGAAGGGTGGGCTGACTGCATTTTCCTGGACTGCCAGAAAGCCTTTGACACAGTACCCCATAAAAGCCAGTAAAAAAGTTGGAGCAACAGGCAGTAGTAAAAGGGAAGGTGCTCCAGTGAATAAGGGAGTACTTAAGCAACAGGAAACAGCGAGCAACGGTGATGGGGGAGACATCAGAGTGGCGAGATGTCACCAGCGGAGTCCCACAGGGCTCAGTACTTGGACTCATCCTGTTTCTAATATATGTAAACGATCTTCCGGAGGGTATAGACTTGTTCCTCTCAATGTTTGCTGATGATGCCAAAATTATGAGAAGAATCAAGACGGATGAAGATAGACAGAGACTACAGGATGACCTGGACAAACTGGAGGAATGGTCTAGAAAATGGCTGCTAAAGTTCAACTCAGGAAAGTGTAAGGTAATGAAATTAGGCGAAGGGAGCAGGAGGCTGAACACAAGGTACCATCTGGGAGGTGAAATCCTGCAAGAGTCAAATAGAGAGAAAGAGATGGGGGTTGATATCACACCGAACCTGTCCCCAGAGGCCCACATCAAAAAGATATCATCAGCGGCATATGCTAGACTGGCCAACATAAGAACTAAGAAACCAAGAAATAAGAAACCAAGAAGTCAGACCAATCATGGAATATGCAGCTCCAGCCAGGAGTCCATACCTAGTTAAACACAAGACAACGTGAGAGAAGATTCAGCGGTATGCCACCAGACTTGTCCTGGAACTGAGAGGAATGAGCTACGAGGAAAGGCTAAAGGAGCTGAACCTCACGTCCCTGGAAAACAGAAGAGTATAGGGAGACATGATAACCACCTACAAAATTCTCAGGGAAATTGACAGGGTGGACAAAGACAAACTCTTCAGCACGGGTGGGACACGAACAAGGGGACACAGGTAGAAACTTAGTACCCAGATGAGCCACAGAAACGTTAGAAAGAATTTTTTCAGTGTCAGAGTAGTTAATAAATGGAATGCACTAGGCAGTGATGTGGTGGAGGCTGACTCCATACACAGTTTGTAGATATGATAGAGCCCAGTAGGCTCAGGAATCTGTACACCAGTTGATTGACAGTTGAGAGGCGGGACCAAAGAGACAAAGCTCAGCCCCCATAAGCACAATTAGGTGAGCAATTAGGTGAGTACCGACTGGGACAGGCACCCAGAAAGGTAGGCACCCCAAAACAAACACCCTATTCTGGTGAAATTATTCCTACCAAAAGTCGAACGAGTAGATAGAACTCGCCAAAATAAATTAACAAACTAGGATGATGTCATCATGTTGCCGTGCCGCCGTCTGTGCAAACCCCCCCCCCCCCCCCTCCTTCCCTGGGAAGGGGAAGGGGGAGCCCCAGACCCCCGCGCCGGCGATCCAACCGATGATTCTAGGCTGATGTGATTCTCGAGAAGTCATGTGCCTCTGACTCCTGTTTTGTTTCAGTTCTGTGCCTTGTGGTGTGGGCTGTCGCTACAGGTGATGTGAGAGCCAGGAGTAATATTCCATGGTACTCGGTCTGCATGCGCCTAGGGTTCCCTTCGTTAGGTGCCCTGTAAATACTGCCCTTGGGGCTTGGGGCCTCCTTCCACAAGTCTCCTTAGGATCTACCTCCACTGTGTCTTTTACTGCTCAGTACTTGGCCGCCCTTGGGGTCAGCTGGGGTTTTGTTGCCCTTTTTTGTCTCTAGGTAGGAGGTAGTTTTCGTCACTGGTGAGGCGCGGGATACTGCACAGCTATAAATGTCATGGCTCCCTGCACTTTTGTGAGGGGACCAGGTTCTGGTTCCCCGGTAGGCCAGAGAATTCCATAACTGATGGCACCTACATCAAAGATGGTAGCTTCAGTTAATGGTTATTAACCAGAGATTTTGGTTAATGGTCTATGGTCCACAGTGTTTGTTTTCTATTAATGTGTAAATAAAATTAAACTGGCAAAATATTTTGGGTAAGTTATTGCAACAAGTTATGTTTAATTCCTGTTATTTTTTCTTTCAGACAACAATGAATAAACAAAATAAAATTATTCATCTCTCATCAAGATTCAGAAGAATATGTAATAATGAACTAAAGGTAACACACCAGCAATCGTACAGAACTGCTTGCATATATAGACTCGGCTATCAAAATATTTTAGAGAAAAATGAGCCATTACGAGAGTTTCAACGAATGTTGTGCTTTACACCAAAACTCTCTAAAATGTCTGTGACCATGGCCACTCAACAACCAGGAAGATTAAAGAAAATGCTGAAGAAGATAGGATGGTTTGATTATTCAAAATATGTAAGTATCCATACTCCTGTACGTATATGGTATTGTAAATACAGTATTATTTTCTAAATTGTGACATTCTTATTTTAACATTTATATGAATTTAATTTAACATGATTCCAGTCCTGTACTGTATGTATTGTGTTATTTCTTTAACATTCATAGGGTAATTATAGGCTTGCATAAATCGGCTTTGAATTAATAGTTGATAATCTAGAGCCCTCTGTGAATGCTTAAATTCCCATAATTGCTCAGCAATGTAATCTCTGGCAGCCAAAATTTAGGTCAAGGCGTTTTTACATTAAGTACATTTTATTTTTCTGTTTTATAAAGATGATTATGGATGTTGCCACACAAGCATTCATGGTACAGAATTTTTGTAAATAGGTATTTAAATATTTAGGTGTATAGTACTTGATTGTACCACTGTACCATTAGGTGTATAGTACCACAAAAGCCACCTCCATCATTTCCCATTTTTGTCTTCAGTGTTCTTCTATTATATTCACTAATTTCCTTGTTCTTCTAAAGCTTAGATTTCCTGTGGAATCATGTCATGGTGTCACATGTATGTAAACATTACAATTGTGAGGATGAAAGTATGTAAACATTACAACTCCTTATTAAGGCAATAGGATCAGATGTGATCGAAGGCAGGGACAATGCCAGCGGCAATTTAAGAAAGCATGTACAACTGGGGCAAATAAAGAAACAGAGCACATACATAAGAGAGTGACTGGAAAAAAAAAACATGAAGTTGAAGTGAACAAACAAAAGCAAATGCCATTACACTAGGTATACTGTAGTACAAAAAGAAAGCCAACAGTTGAAGGCTGATGGCCTTAGAACAGTGGGGCAGCCAGAGGCAATGGTACTAGAAATGTGAATGAATGGGATGGCTATCTGGGACTCTTGGCTCATTGGAACTGCCATCAGTTGGCGAGTGAGTGTTACTAACTAGTGATTGGACCTAGGCAATGATTGTGTGCAGAGTTAACATCAAGGTTGCACGTTTGTCCATATAGTTGCATAATTTAGGGTGTTCTACCTTTCTGGAGGTTTTTGTTTAGGTTCTGTGGTGATATTGTATCCCCAAACATCCCATTGCTTTTATTAAGGGGGGAGGGGGGGCAGATTTTGGTCCTGGTCGCTGGTAGACACTTGTGATTCATTAGAGCCTGGTGTATTTTGAGAGTATTACACAGATACCTTGGGGAGCCACCGAGGAACCCAATCGACTGAGGCATTTTGGCATTCAATGCTAGATTTCTGAGGAAGCCTCAGTGACTTCCTGAAGCTATCTCGCTGAGATTGCTCCAAGCAAATGGGTCACATCAGACATAGGAGGTCTGTTTGGCCTACCAGAAACCAGACCCAAAACCTGACCCAACTCACAAAGGCACAGAGAGCATGGGATATGCTCCACCACACCGAAAAAGCATCTAGAAAGTCAGCGAAGCTTTACAGACAACTGTGTAGTGTTAACAAAGCCTGAAGCCTCAAAACCACTTAACAACTCTACAAATGATTCACACAGAAGAAGAGAAACATTCAAAATTAACATGAAACTCAGTACTGAATGCCACCACCAGGCAGCCTGGCTCCTGCATGAAGCCATCTTCTCATCAATTCAGATCAGTTCTTATGCTGATGTCAGCTGGACAGTTGTTCTCAGGTCTTTCAGATGTGGCAGGTCCTGCTGCTTCAGGATAAGTGCCAGTTGTATTCTTGGGCTTGTTCCTGAAAGGACTGTTTGCTTTTTACTTTAGAAACCCAGCATTGAATATAATGAATCATCCCCTTCTGGATGAGCCTCGGTTGCTCCCTGACACACTCCCTATAAGATTAGTCAGTTTGTTGGTGGGCTGTTCATCAGCTTCAAAACTGATAAGGGAAGATGGCTGCATGCAGGAGCCAGGCTGCCTAGTGGTGGCATTCAGTATTATGAGTTTTGCACTAATTTTGAATGTCTCTTGTTCTTCATAAATCTTTTGCAGAGTTATTTAGTTGTTTCGAGACTTCAGTCTTTGTTAACCTTAAAAAGTGTAAGTAAGAGTGATTGGTGGATACTTTGGACATTATTTATATGACTAACTCTGAGGATGATGTGCAGGAATTATAAGATTTTTGCATAAATTGCCCTGCTGTGTACTGTTCTCATGTTATTATACTGTTACTAATTTACTTTCAGAAATTAAAGCGATCAGGATATCTGCTCTATGGAAATGCTTGTGACAGAGCTTTAGCATCTGATTTTTTTAGAGGTGAGACTCATCTTATTATATGTGTATTCATTACTTGAGCTTTAAGTCCTTTGTTATTTTTCACATATTTATGGGAAAATGTTTCCAGTCATGCTTATAAATCTTCATTAACATCTTGTGCATATCATCATTTAGCTGTACCATGAACCTTAGCATTGAGCATGTGATGAACAACTTAAAAAATCAACAGAAAACTGTGAAAACCCATGCCTTTATTTCAGACTTCATAGGAGTCATTAGTTTTAGTAATACTGTAGGTGCCAATCCTACTTGAAGAGGGGCATGAAAGTCAACCCCAACCCCCCCTATAACACCCCATGCAATTACATATCACAAGGATTGTTATGTTAGGTTAACTGCAAGCATTTGGCCTCCATCCTTGGACATATTAACAGACTTTTTTTTTAGATAAAAATTAATGAGTCTATATACCTTGACAAGATTGCTAAGGACAGCCTCTTTATATTGAGTAAAAATAGGACAAAAGATCATCGGCAGAAGCTAGAAACATAAAACAGTGCACGTATCTTGTATTGGTAGTCAACACGAGGAATGTACTGAAGGATGATGTGTAAGCTACTTCCATCTACAACTTTAATAACAAATACAACAGAATTTAAGTGTAAATTTTTTTTAAATATTGTTAGGCGTAAAAAAGCAGTTAGTGCCGGAGAAAAGCATGAAGCTCTGCCACACGACTCCCAGAGGCTAATGCCAACAGAAAAAGAGCCTTAGCAAAACAATCCCATCAGCCGAGGAACTGGGGTGGGGATCGCCGGCGCGGGGGTCTGGGGCTCCCCCTTCCCTCTCCCTGTGCAGACATGCGGCACGGCTCGTGTGACGTCATGCTTGTTTGCTCATTTTTCTTTTGGGGAGTTCTGTCCACTCGTTTGACGATTTTCGTTGTTAACCAGAATAGGGGTTTTTGTGGTGCTTACCTTTCTGGGTGCCTGTCCCGGTCGATGGTAGATATAGAATGCTCCAAATCACATGTGCATTCTATGGGCCATTGCTCCTCATGCCTCTCTGAGGGGGCCAGATTCTGGCTTGTGGTCCCTGGTAGGCCTAGAACTCCACCCACATTGACTGATGCAAAATAGTTAGGTTATCCATATCAGTCATGGATAGCTCCGGGGAGCCTCTGGAACTCACCCAGAAAATGGCGTTTCATTACATTCAACGCTGATTTTATTCATTAAGATAGTTCAACACCACACATGCTTTTCAATTTCCATTTCTCCTGCCAAGTCTTTGTTTTTCGTGGCATAAACATGAAAAACCTAGAAGTTGCAAATTAAAAATTGATAATCTAGAAAGTATGTATAGTGTTTGAAGAATAGAGTAGGCAATAAAAATGTAATGTATTTTGAAAGATATGGAATGGAAAAGTTGATAAATTGTAAGAGAGAGAGGAGTGTGCCTGATGGTCAGGCCATGTTAAACAAATGGATGATAACTGAATACCAGTACCACTCTTCACCAATCTTAGTAAATTTCAAGGTAGTGGAAGAAGAGAGAGGCTGAGATGATTATGGGCACATAAGATGATTGAGTTTGTGAAAAATGGTATTTCAGTGTGAACAATACACAGGTTGTGTTGGAATAATAATAATAATAATAATAATAATAATAATAATAATAATAATAATAATAATAATAGGCATTGGCAAAAGGGTGTGATTTTTTTTTATATAGGACAACTTGTGAGAAGCATGGTACACTTAGTCTTATGAAGTGGTGGGAGATTCTGTGGATGATTTGTTGGTGCCTTATTACTACATAACTGATGCTTTATTACTTTCACCACCTTCCTTATTCTTCATCACCTTCCTTATTCTTCATCACCTTCCTTATTCTTCATCACCTTCCTTATTCTTCACCACCTTCCTTATTCTTCATCACCTTCCTTATTCTTCACCACCTTCCTTATTCTTCATCACCTTCCTTATTCTTCATCACCTTCCCCATCCTTCACCACCTTCCCCGTCCCCATCCGTCACCACCACCTTCCCCTTCCCATCCTTCACCACCTTCCCCATCCTTCATCACCTTCCTTATTCTTCACCACCTTCCTTATTCTTCACCACCTTCCCCATCCTTCACCACCTTCCCCATCCTTTACCACCTTCCCCATCCTTCACCACCTTCCCCATCCTTCACCACCTTCCTTCACCACCTCCTTTCACCACCTTCCCCCTTTCCCCACCTTCACCACCTTCCTTATCCTTCACCACCTTCCCCATCCTTCACCACCTTCCCCATCCTTCACCACCTTCCCCATCCTTCACCACCTTCCCCATCCTTCACCACCTTCCCCATCCTTCACCACCTTCCCCATCCTTCACCACCTTCCCCATCCTTCACCACCTTCCCCCCTTCACCACCTTCCCCGTCCTTCATTCCCCATCCTTCACCACCTTCCCCATCCTTCACCACCTTCCCCATCCTTCACCACCTTCCCCGTTCCCCATCCTTCACCACCTTCCCCTTCACCACCTCCTTCACCACCTTCCCCATCCTTCACCTTCCCCATCCTTCACCTTCCCCATCCTTCACCACCTTCCCCATCCTTTACCACCTTCCCCATCCTTCACCACCTTCCCCATCCTTCATCACCTTCCCCATCCTTCATCACCTTCCCCATCCTTTACCACCTTCCCTCTCCTACACCATCTTTCCTAACCGTCACCTTCTCCATCCCCCCCCCCAACCTCCCCCCACTATTCCAACCCTACTCCACCCACCACCACCCTTAGTTATTGTCTACCTGTTGTTGGTTCCAGGAATCAATGTTCCCGAGACCCAGTCTACAACCAGACCTGGTTGGTGGTATGGTCAACTTATCTTCATTAAACTTCATATTATTTTCTGTGGCCCATTGAAAGACCTTACAGCATTTACATCATTTTGAAGGTTTGCCGTGTCCTCTATATTGTCAACTCTCATGCAAATCCTAGTGTTACCTGCAAAGGATGATACAGTACTATATTAACTGTTTTCACTAAATACTCTTCGTCAATAAACTACATAAGTGAAACTAACCTTTAATCATCATGTAGGAAATATATTAGATGAATCTTAGTGAGATTGGAAATTAGTGTAATGTTTCCATTTCATGCAATGGCGGAAAAGGGAGTGAATAGGGCTCGACCCCAACTATGACCATCCCCAGACAAAGACCAGTCACCCTGTATAGTTTGTTAAGGCAAACTCCAGGCATGTGCCCTCTTCCCCTCCCAACCTCAAGCAGGCAGAGACAAAAGTACATACTGATATTCTCTTATAGCTATATATATTGTGGCAATGATGATGACCCAACTGACAGATATTTAGTGAACATGGAAATCCTATCACCAGTTTAGATCCCTCCTTTCATGATTCCATAGCAGCAGACTAAACTTCAACTGAAATTCAGAAGCAAATATTTCACTTGTTCTATTAAAAGCAAACAATGTTTATGCTTAACACTTTGGCGTGCCCCGCGCGCCACCCCTCAACTGTGCGATTTGGGTCCCAGCGTTTCACGGGAGCGCGCGTTAATTCTGAAAAGTGTATACTCTCTTCAACTTTGTCACCTTAATTCTCGTGCTACGAGATTAAATTTGGTATCATTGTGTTCGCAATAGAATTCTCTACAGCACTAAATGCATATAAACTCCAAAAGCCCGGCTAATTACTCGCAGCAAACAGAGAAAGTGCGAACGAGTTACCCAGGAGCGCGTAAAAGCGATAAAATGTGTTCACTCTTTTCACTCTGGTCACCTCAATTTTCGTCCTAGGTCTTTCATTTTGGTATCAATGGGTTCGCAATAGAATTATCTACAGGAACATTAGCATATAAAATAAAAAACCTGGTCACGCTCCACCCGCCAACGAGTTGAAGACAGGCCATGCGTTAACCGCGAGTGAGCGCCCAGACGCCTTCCAGCTACACTCCCAATTCCTGCCCAAAAATGTTTAGTAATGTTTAGTATTTAGTATTTTAGTATATGTAGTATTATAGTTTAGCATTTTTTGTGTAGCAGTTGTACATCACATAAGCATTGTAGATAGCCATTTGCACAAAATAGATGTTCATTTTCTTCATCCATTTGTGAGTTTTCCTTATGAAGTGATAATATTTGATCATTTGGTCAAAGTGATCAACACCTTTCATGTTTGTATTGTAGTCACAGATTGCATTCAGCTTGTTGACAGTTACCAAACAGTCCCCCAAAAATCGGATAAAAACCTGATTTTTGGCAATGTTTTTAGTGGATGACGCAATGCTGCGTCATCCCTAAGATTACCGACAGTAAATGGATGACGCAATGCTGTGTCATGCCCGGGCGAAAGTGTTAAGCACCGTGCTGCGCCGAGTTTATTGTGAAATTTCCCCGGTGCGCATGAAATAGTGTTCCCAAAAAATTATTTTTTCTTCGTAAAATGATAAATTCCCTTCCCTGAACATGTCTATGTAAAAATAAATATAAAATTCCACTTACTTTGGCTGTAGGGACGTGGACAAGTGCGCTGTGACGTCATCAGGGCCTGGTCACCAGTGCGTGAATTGCCCAGACATGATCACGCGGGCCATTCAAGCACCGGGTGTTGCCACAAATATATTTTCAATTATTTGTTTTATGTCTCCGGAGCCAAGCAGTCTCCGTGGTGTAGTGGTAAGACACTCGCCTGGCGTTCCGCGAGCGCTTTGTCATGGGTTCGTATCCTGGCCGGAGAGGATTTACTGGGCGCAAATCCTTAACTGTAGCCTCTGTTTAACTCAACAGTAAAATGTGTATTTGGTTGTAACAACGATTCTTCGCGGCGGGGATCGTATTCCAAAGACCTGCCTGAAACGCTACGCATACTAGTGGCTGTACAAGAATGTAACAACTCTTGTATATATCTCAACAAAAAAAAAAAAAATATGTATTTCCAATGCTGCTTTATTTTTTTATTTTTTTATTGTATATGATGCATATTTGTGTCCTTTACAATATGTATACAGTAGAACATTCATAATGTTCCATGGAACTGTGATACATGTGTCAGTAATGTGTCCACAATAAATGTTTATTGTCGCAATATTACCTGTTAAAAATTCACTAAAATTACACTATGTACAGTTTCACACACAATTTACACAGTAACACACTGTATTACACACTCAGTACTTCAGAAGTGAGTAATAATCAACGAAGTAGTCCATGGTACACAGCACGATTTCGCTCTCAGTGCACCAGGTACAGATAAATTTTCGCTTCCTGTTCCTTCATTCTGTGTGCTTGCAAATAATGCACTCACATACACCCTTGGCTTTAGTACTTGTAGGTTGTATGTAGCCAAGCTTGTAAAGCATAAAGTAGTATTGAAAAGATTATAGGAAAAGATCAATTTGTAAGGTAGTCTTGAAAAGATCGCTTTGTATGGTCCCACACAGGAAGAGATTCAGCTTGCCTCAAAGAGTGGCTGTCAGTCAGAAAGAGATTCAGCTTGCCTCAAAGAGTGTCCGTCAGTTAGGAAGAGATTCAGGTACTGTATTCTTGAAAATATCTATGGAAAATACCACCATGGAAGCCGCTAACACTGTTCATCTATGCTACTTGTATCAGGTGCATCATCACTGACCACAGAAAACGATTCATCTATGTATCATCTAAATAAATTGGAGATAGTATAGGATTGCAAGGGTGACGCTCAGAGCTACAACTGAATACGCTCGCTGTATCGTCCTCATAGGTGCTGTATCACTTGCATCCGACCTTTGTGTTAGGTCCTTATTGTGCCTAGCTTCACCAATATTATGACCCTTATGTTCTTTAAACAATAAAGTTTGAATTTCACAGACAGAGCATTATCTTTCAACACCGCGTCGGACAGGTGTTTGAGAGCCAGAGGCGCGTGCACCACCCATGGTTGCTCATTCAGTACTAACCCACCCAGCAGCCCTAGGGCATTCTGGGAATTTTTTCCAAGATGGCTGCCTCTCACTGGAGGTTCTAAGAGTCCATTTCGTACACAACCAACCTCGTACACATTTAGAATTGGTACCGAAAAATCAAAAAGAGTTTTCTCGGTTGGCGCAGTTTCCCGCTGACTGAGAATACTCGGTGGGCGCAGTTAAGTGGTTAATGGCTGCTGTTGAAATGACTGTCTAAATTTTTTAATTAATATTTCCTCAAGAAAAGGAATTTGTAGGGGGGAAATAGGGTACCAAGACAAATATATTTCAATGGATTTATTATGTTTCTTATATAATTTATTCTTTCAGTTTGTGACTTGCCTGATACCTTCTATTCATGGTTCTTGGTTACTGAACTTCATATTTGGATGTTGATGGTGCGACTCATGGCTGAAGGAGAGGAAGGAAGGTATACTCGAAATTCTCTCATTGAAGCACTTTGGGAAGATTGTGATGCAAGATCCAAGAAACTTGGGGTACGTCATGATTTTTAGATCTTGGTTTTGATTTTGGTTTTATTGAATAACACTGTAACCCCCCTGACACCACCATGCCACCACTAATGTCATCAGCACATGTACCATCAGCAACCCCTGACACCACCATGCCACCACTAATGTCATCAGCACATGTACCACCAACAACCCCTGACACCACCATGCCACCACTAATGTCATCAGCACATGTACCACCAACAACCCCTGACACCACCATGCCATCACTAATGTCATCAGCACATGTACCACCAACAACCCCTGACACCACCATGCCATCACTAATGTCATCAGCACATGTACCACCAACAACCCCTGACACCACCATGCCACCACTAATGTCATCAGCACATGTACCACCAACAACCCCTGACACCACCATGCCATCACTAATGTCATCAGCACATGTACCACCAACAACCCCTGACACCACCATGCCACCACTAATGTCATCAGCACATGTACCACCAACAACCCCTGACACCACCATGCCATCACTAATGTCATCAGCACATGTACCACCAACAACCCCTGACACCACCATGCCATCACTAATGTCATCAGCACATGTACCACCAACAACCCCTGACACCACCATGCCACCACTAATGTCATCAGCACATGTACCACCAACAACCCCTGACACCACCATGCCACCACTAATGTCATCAGCACATGTACCACCAACAACCCCTGACACCACCATGCCACCACTAATGTCATCAGCACATGTACCACCAACAACCCCTGACACCACCATGCCACCACTAATGTCATCAGCACATGTACCACCAACAACCCCTGACACCACCATGCCATCACTAATGTCATCAGCACATGTACCACCAACAACCCCTGACACCACCATGCCATCACTAATGTCATCAGCACATGTACCACCAACAACCCCTGACACCACCATGCCACCACTAATGTCATCAGCACATGTACCACCAACAACCCCTGACACCACCATGCCACCACTAATGTCATCAGCACATGTACCACCAACAACCCCTGACACCACCATGCCATCACTAATGTCATCAGCACATGTACCACCAACAACCCCTGACACCACCATGCCATCACTAATGTCATCAGCACATGTACCACCAACAACCCCTGACACCACCATGCCACCACTAATGTCATCAGCACATGTACCACCAACAACCCCTGACACCACCATGCCACCACTAATGTCATCAGCACATGTATCACCAACAACCCCTGACACCACCATGCCACCACTAATGTCATCAGCACATGTACCACCAACAACCCCTGACACCACCATGCCATCACTAATGTCATCAGCACATGTACCACCAACAACCCCTGACACCACCATGCCACCACTAATGTCATCAGCACATGTACCACCAACAACCCCTGACACCACCATGCCACCACTAATGTCATCAGCACATGTATCACCAACAACCCCTGACACCACCATGCCACCACTAATGTCATCAGCACATGTACCACCAACAACCCCTGACACCACCATGCCATCACTAATGTCATCAGCACATGTACCACCAACAACCCCTGACACCACCATGCCATCACTAATGTCATCAGCACATGTACCACCAACAACCCCTGACACCACCATGCCATCACTAATGTCATCAGCACATGTACCACCAACAACCCCTGACACCACCATGCCACCACTAATGTCATCAGCACATGTATCACCAACAACCCCTGACACCACCATGCCACTACTAATGTCATCAGCACATGTACCACCAACAACCCCTGACACCACCATGCCACCACTAATGTCATCAGCACATGTACCACCAACAACCCCTGACACCACCATGCCACCACTAATGTCATCAGCACATGTATCACCAACAACCCCTGACACCACCATGCCACCACTAATGTCATCAGCACATGTACCACCAACAACCCCTGACACCACCATGCCACCACTAATGTCATCAGCACATGTATCACCAACAACCCCTGACACCACCATGCCACCATCATCATCATCAGTACCTGTACCATCAGCTGATCACACTTCATCCCCTCCTCTCAGATATGATGGGTAAGTTTGAGATAAATACATGGGGATGCAGCTTTTAAACTATTTGATTTAATGCATGTTTCTGGAGGAGCCCCTTGGTGGCTCCCAGAAGTTATCTTGCTTCATCTGTTTCTCTCCACAAGATCACATCAGTTGCGGGAGTTCTGTTTTGTCTAGCGGTGACCATAATCAGAACCTAGCCCCATCAGAGAGGTGCAGAGAGCAAGTGACATTCCAACACCCCACCGGGGAAGCATCTGTAAAGTCAATGAAGCATTCCAGACAATTGCAATGTTCACAAGAACCAAATCCTTGAAAACCACCAAACAACTCCCCCAAGCAATTAAAAAGGAGCCCATGCCCTCCATTAACAATCACCAATTAACTCTTTTGCTGATGAGGAGTTATCAACTCCACAGTAGTGCTCTTGGATCACCAACAGTTGTGGTGGGTCATCCCCTGCTTCTAAGCCAAGTGGCGGTGTTTTCCAAACTATCATGGGTTGATATTCGGACACATAGGTTTTGGTGGTCTAACAGAGTCTTTGTTGCCTGGTATTTTGTCAATGTCCCTGGGCCAAGTTATTTCTGTGTTGCTTTGGACTGTGTTTCCTGGTCTCTTGTCTCTACTTTGCCTTATTGCCTGTCATATCTCACCTCCCTGGTAAAGTCCCTCGCAGGCGGGCAGGCAGGCAGGCAGGCGGGCGGGCAGGCAGGCAAGCGGGCAGGCGGGCGGGCGGGCAGGCAGGCAGGCGGGCGGGAGGGGAGGCATCAGAGGTCCGCGGTTGTTCAACGTCCTCCCAGCAAGCATAAGAAATATTGCCGGAACAACCGTGGACATTTTCAAGAGGAAAATAGATTTATTCCTCCAAGGAGTGCCGGACCAACTGGGCTGTGGTGGGTATGTGGGCCTGCGGGCCGCTCCAAGCAACAGCCTGGTGGACCAAACTCTTACAAGTCAAGCCTGGCCTCGGGCCGGGCTTGGGGAGTAGAAGAACTCCCAGAACCCCATCAACCAGGTATCAACCAGGTAACCAGGCAGGCAGGCAGGCACAGAGGGAGGGTGGAATTGGGAGGCAGGCAGGCAGGCAGGCAGGCACAGAGGGAGGGTGGAATTGGGAGGCAGGCAGGCAGGCACAGAGGGAGGGTGGAATTGGGAGGCAGGCAGGCAGGCACAGAGGGAGGGTGGAATTGGGAGGCAGGCAGGCAGGCAGGCACGCACAGAGGAAGGGTGGAATTGGAAGGCAGGCAGGCAGGCAGGCACAGAGGGAGGGTGGAATTGGGAGGCAGGCAGGCAGGCACAGAGGGAGGGTGGAATTGGGAGGTAGGCAGGCAGGGAGGCTGGGAGGGGAGGCAGGCAGGGAGGCTGGGAGGGGAGGCAGGCAGGGAGGCTGGGAGGGGAGGCAGGCTGGGAGGGGAGGCAGGCAGGGAGGCTGGGAGGGGAGGCAGGGAGGCTGGGAGGGGAGGCAGGCAGGGAGGCTGGGAGGGGAGGCAGGCAGGGAGGCTGGGAGGTATAGAAATAAGGTAAAGCTGGTAATAAATAAACTGGAACAGAACCAATAAAAACAATACCATGTCACCTTCCCCCCACCACCCTTGATTCTTGCCCATGTACCAACTCGCATACGCCTCTAGGTGGCTAGTCCAGCAGCTATTGACCTACATCTGGCAAAGGACTGGTGACCAGCTGCAACTGGAAAAGGAAGCATATTTATTATTTCTGAGTACAAGAATGGGCCTACTATAGCTTGAGCTTGAGTATGAGGGGGTGTACAAATGACAAATCAGCAAAAGTGGTATCTTTGACTATAGCTGATTAGAAGAGTGTTGACGATACAACAATGCCAAGGAAGAGGTAACCCATTACCATAGAAAGGAAATTATAAATAATCAACTGCTGTGGAAAGGGAGGGAAAAACACGAGCACAGATCACACATCTTCAGAGGCTGCTACATGGTAGAAAAGGGGCAATGATGGTGAAATCTATGTACAGTCAGGTTCTGGTGGTAGAACTATACCTATCAACGGTATAGGTTAAGTAATAATTGTAATTAAGAAGCAATAAGATGCTTATCTTAACATACGAAAAAGGTTAGGTGAGGTCGGTGTTTTCTATGAAGCTTTTCAAGGTAAACTAAAATATTTATAATCAATTAGTATGTCACATATGCACTTATTTAATAAGCCAATATTGACTATAAGCAAGTGCAAGAACGGGTTGTTATATTATATATATTTATAGTTGCTGTAATCATCACAACACTAATCATTAGGCCTTCACCACTCCATTCATTTCCTGAGAGATGTTGGCCCAGTTATACCTCGCTCTGTTTAGTTTTTAATACCTTTAACTGTGTTCTGTACACTGTTATCTTATTTTCTCAGGACTGGTGTCTCTCCACCCCATGAAAGTGAGAAACACGGTAATGAAGACAACGATGAATTCTGTTATTAACTGTCTTCCTATTTCAAGTTAATTTTCTTTCAGTCTTTGGCACAAAGTGTACGTCAAGAACAAATGCAGAGTATTGGTTCTTCATTTCAAGCAGCTCTCTTTGCTTATGATGAAGGTTTAATGAGCGATGATCGTGTCTTAGCTTCAGCTTTGTGGCGAAGATTGTTCTCCAGGAACTGCAAAGATCCAGAGACATTAGAATGTTGTGTCCAGTTTGTGAGAAAGCAGGTAGAATATTTAATCAAACTTTCTTATTAATAATCAAAACTGGTATATTAATATAAATGTAGCATTTCTGAGCAAGACTCCCTCATAGCTCCTCAAGGCTTTTTCCTGTGGCCTTCATGGAATTTAGCCTTCGAAAGTGAATTTACATTCTAGGAAACGAGTACCATTTCCAACTACCTTGTCCTTCTCCCAGTGGGTTGGAAGCTCAGTGGAGAGTTTGGGTCAGTGTACAAAGACAAATGCTCTCCAAGAAACCCTTAAAATCACACTAAACATACTTTTATTATTTCTAAATTGCCAATGGTTTTCCTGAGCTATTTAAAGATCCAAACTCGACTTACCCAACCACCACCAGAGCAGAGCTGATACCTCTAAAACATCAATTTAGATTAGTGGTCTATAAAACATTGTCTTGTACAGCACTTCTCTGCTTTAACCCCTTAACTGTGCATCACATTCAGTAATGTTCAACAGGTGCACATCACATCCTGAGATATTTCTGGGGGGAGCCCCTTGTGGCTCCCTGAAGCTATACACTAGATGGTTTCCATGTACCTGGTTGCATCAGCTGTGGATTTCTATCGGTGTAGCACCAGAATCTGGCTCCTACAGAGGCACAGGGAGAGGTGACATTTCACCACCTCACCGGGCAAGGCAACCAGAAAGTCAGCGAGTCAAAACAGACCACTGTTGGATTCAAAAAGAGATCAAAGCCTCAAAACCCACATAATGAGATCCCCCTGAACTATGTAGACAAACAATCAGATGCTCTCAAAACTAGCTAGAGCTTCTTTGCTCCACTTCCCCCACTAGGGAGGTGTGGTGGGGGGGGGGGAGTGGCTCACCACCTTTCAGGGTCTTAGCTGTCGGTTCTGTCACTAATGCAGCGGTTCTTGGGTTGTCTCTGCTCCTTGTGGGCTCCTCTGTTCTGCTAAATGGTGTGGTGCTTACCCTTGGTGGCCTTTTCCTGTACACTGCAGAGTAGTGTTTAGTGTTTAGAGTAGTAGCCTAGTTTTTAGAGTGCTTGGAGCTGCATGTGCTCATAATTACTTTCCCTGTGTGCTCTCTAACACTTCTCTTGCATTACTAGAGTTATTTTCTCTGGAGTGTTCGGGAGTCGCTCTCTCAAAGGTCCTCCCCATTTGTGGTGGACCTCATCTAGGGTGAATCAAAGGTCTTGTGGCTTCTTTGTCTTTACCCTAATTGGGTGCAACTTTGGCTGGCAGGGTGCAGTAGTGATTTGTGGGCTTTCTTCAGTGCGCCAAGGTTGACCTTCACAGTTGTGTAACCAGAGCTGTGTCAGCTTACTTTTAGGTACAGTGTAGCGTCCCTAGTGCCTGGGTGTTCTGCTTTGCTTACCCTTCAGGACCTGGAGGGATAGGTTTAGTGATCCTGAACCCTGCAGGTTTAGTGGTCCTATGGATATCCCAATGAATGTGCTCTCACTTTGTATAAGTTTGAGGGATGCTTGTCATTCATGCCATACAACAACAATCACTCATTTTGCCTCCGTTATGCTACCTGTAGGGTCGGTGACACCTTTGATGCTGAGTTCTGTGGGATTTGCTCTCCCCTTGTGACTTTTCTTTTAAACCCTCCTGATGAGGTTACTGTTTACCAGGCAACGATGGCTTTGTGTATTAATTTCGCTATCTTGCAGTGGTCTAGTTTGTGACCTTTTCGAGCATACCAGGAGAGGGTTCCTAGAGTTCTTCTACTCCCTGAGCCCAGCCTGGGGTCAAGATTGACTTTTGATTTGGATGCCCTGGAGCTGTTCCGTTTGGTGTTTACGGACCTGGAATTAGAGGTGTTGGTAACCTCCACCTTGGCTCAGTCCGTACCACCTCCTCCTTCCCCTTCTGGCATGGTTCAAGCTTCTTCTGATCTTTCACTCCCTGCCTTCCCATGATTGCAGCCCTGAAGCATCTGAGGGTTTACAGGACAGGGCAGGGGTTTAGCTCAGAATATGGCTCATGCAGGTCCAAGGGGTTGCCCCCTTCCAAATTGGGCATGGAGGCAGTTAAGTCAGCTAGTCCTGCAGAGGCTTCAGGGTTTTCCTTTCTGCCTACCCTCTTCCCCCCCCCTCCATTCCTTCCTTTGAAGCCTCTCCCTTTGAATCTGCTTTTCTATCTCTGCCATTGGGCATAAATACCTGCTCTGTTCTGTGGCCCTTAATTGCAGCTTCTGGGGCTTTGGTGGAGTCTGATATGGGCCCATGGGTCCCTTTCGACTCTAAATGGTTGCTGGGTCTCTTTAAGGAGAGACTACTTAGAGAGACCCTCCCCCTCCCCCCAGCTCCCCCTCCCCTTTTGTATGGGGTGAGGAGTTTTTGTATCCTCCATCTCTGGGTATGATTTGGGTGTGGCATTCTCCAGGGTTTGGTTATGTATGTTTTTGGGCCTAAATGCAGATCTTTATGAAGATAATTGTTGTGATTATTTTAAATTGAGCCATAAGTTTAAAGCAGAAGCTGCTCCACATAGTAATGAATTGTGAACTTAAGACCTAACTTAAACAAACCATGATACAGTAGTAAGAAATTATTTAATTTGAATTTGTTCTTATATTAATGTCCCAATAAATACATAGCTGCTGAAATATTTTAGCAAAATTACCAGTTATGTTCAAAAACATTTAAGTTTGCCTTTGTTTTTCCAAGATTTTTGGATAATATAAATACAAATTATGAAGTGTTGCTAATTAAAGGGTCATTCCATGTGATTTCATCAAAGTCCACCCACTCGACCCTTTCTAAATCTAATGAAATTTTGTAATAAAGTAGCCGTAGACCCCAAATGAAGTTGTGCAAAATATTAGAGCTCAATCTGCTTTGGTTCTTAACCCTTAAACTGCGCATGGCGTATATATACGCCCTGAGTAACATGTCCCATGGTGCGCATGGCGTATATATACGCCATAGGGTGCCAGGCCTGATTCAAATGGCCCGCGGCTACACGGGGTTCACAGTAGCTTCCTCAGGGCTCTTGTAAACAGATGCCATTTAAAAAAAAATCGTGGGCAATATTCTCAGGTGTGAGAGGCACAGTACTGTTGGAGCAACCAAGGCCGGCGCACGCAGCATGAGCGAACAGCATTGATGTTCAGCTTGTGACCACAGCATCGCCGAAAAATGTCAAAATAAATATATAATTGTTATTATTTAGCGATGACAATATTACAGATGACCAATGACTGTGATATAAATAACCAGGGTTGTGATAATAGCAGGATTGTTGTAATAATTAGCGCTGTGTGAGGAGTGATGCTGAGAGACGGAGGGAGACAGCATCGTTTACTGACTGTGTGGCCACCTGTTATTGTTTGCGTTCACCATACCAGGTCAGTGGTTCTCTATGGTGAACACAAATGTAGATACTTATATATAATGTGTGTATTAGTGTAATAACAGCAAAAGGATTATGCTGGGAGGAGCCATATGGGTGACGGAGGTGACGTCGTCTGCACGATTTCTCTAGCTGTTTAGAGGGTGGCCACTATGCTCTTTGGGCGCTCTACAAGCTTAGGTGTACAGTTACGGTGCATAAAACATGTAGATATTTATATATAATATGTGTATATAGGGTAATAACACTGCAAAAGGTATTGTTGGGGGAGAAAGTTTAGTGCGTGTGACCTTGAAAGAGTGAGGGAGCCGCCAGCCGCCATCTGTGTATAGCGACGACTCTTAGTGCCTGAACTAACTATATCAGCTTAGCTGTACAGTTGTGGTGAACAAAATATACACATACTTATATATAACGTCTGTATATAGTGTAATAACACCACAACTGGTATTGTTGGGGGAGAAAGTTTAGTGCGTGTGTTGAGGGAGTGGCAGCGAGTGGCTGGCTGGTGTGTGGCGGTAACTCCTCGTTGCTTTTCGACTCTCAATACCAACTTAGTGGTTCGTTATGGTGACCAAAACATGCCAATACTTATATATAACCTGTGTATAGAGTGTAATAGCAGCAAAACTATTTGTTTATTGTTTTATAAACATAATAATTGAATCACTAATATGCACATCATACTTTTGAGTATAGCGATTATTAACCACTTTTATTATATAAATATATTACAATACACACTATTGAATAATATTACTGCAAAAAAACTAAGAAAAAATCAATCGGAGACATTGAAACAATTAGGTAATAATATCTTTGTGGCAACTCCCATCTGTCAACGCGGGTGACGCTGACCGGGTCTGACGACCGCTCTGTCAACGCCCACTTTTTGCCAGACTTCCTCGGTCAATTGCGCCCAAAATATGTCACCTACGATTTTTTTTTTATTTTTTCCGTGCTCAGGGGACACAAATTACCCCCTCCCCGCTCAGCTCGTTGTCGCCGTCTGGGGGCTTAGTGGGCGGCTGCCGGAGTGTGATGCTCCTTGGGACAGTCCTCTGTCCTTTTCTAGCCTTGTGCTCCTGCTGCCGTCCTCTCCAATTCTGCTGGGCATCTTTTCCTTTTCCTTCTGTTTCGTTTTTCTCCCCCCTCTTCTCCTATCTGCTTGCCGTTTCCTGCCGACCTTTTGCTCGTTCTGGTTCTTCCCTTGGACTTCTTCTACTTTGACGCCCGGGTGCTTGAGGAGGCATACTCTTGCACCCGTAGAACTGCGGTACCCGACGTCGAGAGCGAGGGGAACCTTTTATTGTCAATCCCCACTTCGTCACTGAACCCGATCTCGACGGACTGTCGGTTTCTTAAGGTGGCGTTTGTGGGGCGTATACTCACGACGCACCCCTAGGAGGCCCCGACAAGATCGGCGATAGCTTCTTGTTGGGTGTCCTGCCTCTAATTGTGGCTCCATGGTGGGTGTGGGGGCACATTCGTGAGTGAATTCGTAATTTCGTCAAGATGATAACCCCTGTTTCGGCTGTTTCTGGCTTACCTTTTCAGGCTCGTGGGGTGGGCGACCAAGCCCCCGAGTCGGTCCGTATTGGAAGACCGGGCTCTGTAGCCTCCGCTGCATTGGGCCCCGACCTTGCTCCTCCTTTGGCCTCTCTGACTCCTTCCCCTGGCTCCCCTCCCTCCTCTGTGGTTGGGTCGAGCCCCAAGCCCCCAGTGGTGACTACCTCGTCCCCTGGCGCGGCTCCTTCTCTAGTTGTTACTACTGCGCCTTTTAACCCCTCTCTCTCTGGGGGTTCTCACCGCCGTTCTCGTCACGGCCGCCCTCGCTCGATTCCTTCCAGTTCTGCTACCTATCAAGCCTTGTTTGGTCCCGCTTCGTGGGCCAAATATTTTGATCTCCTCCCTCTTGATTCTGCGCCTCCTGACGATTTCTCCCTTCATCGACATCTCATTGATTCCGTGGATGCCTCCATTACTTTTAACCCCACTCGTCTCGGTACGCGTGTCGTTGCTGCTCCTTCTCAGGATGCTGCTTCCCGCTTGGCTGCCTTATCCTGCCTTGGCGAGACCCCCGTTCGGGTCTCGAAGAACGTCCAGTTGAATGCCAGTGTTGGCACTATTTTGCTCCCGCCCCATGTTGCGACCGGTGTTCGGGACCTACGCGACTGCCACGACGATATTCGACATATCCTCGCTGCCCAGGGCCATTCTATTCTCCAGGTGGACACGTTTACTCGTCCCCCTCGTGGTAGTCGCCGTCAACCCCTCCGGGTTGTGAAGATTACCTTTGATGGTAGGACCCTTCCACCCTCTGTCATTCTTGCTGGTGCCAGGTGCTCTGTCCAGGAGTACATTCCTTCTCCTCGGCTCTGCAACAAGTGCTGGAGGTTTGGGCATGGTGCCCTCCGCTGCTCCGGGACTGTCTCTCTCTGTCCTTTGTGTGGTGGCGAAGGTCACTCTAAGTCGGAGTGCGCTTCTCCCCAGGCTCGTTGCCTCAACTGCGGTGAGGCCCATCCTACCTTCTCCCGTGCGTGTGTCCATTACAAGCTTGAGGCAGCCGTCCTCAACTTGAAGCACCGGGAGCGTTTATCTTTTCCTGAGGCGAGGCGCCAGGTTCGCCGGCTCCCGCCTTATGCTAATATCTCTTATGCTCGCGTGTTGCGCTCTTCCTCTCCTCGTCCTTCCCGCCTTCCTCAGACTCACAACCGTTTCCAGGCCTTGGACCCTGATGCGCCCACTGCCCCCTCCTCTGTCCCTTTGGGTTCTCTCCCGAAGGATCCTCCTCCTGGTCCTCTGTCTGGGGTTCCCCTTCCTTCTACCCGGTCTGTCGTGTCTTCTGTGTCTCCTTCCTCGTCCCCCTCCGATCCTCCTTCCCATCCTCTTCCTCCATCTATCGGCTCTCCCCGCCGCCTGTCGGTGCGGGCGGATGTCCATCGCTCTCCTAACGGCCGTCGTGTGTGCTCTCGTTCGGCTTCTCCTGTTGAGACACTGGAATCCGTTGCCCGGTACGTAGTTGCTGGGACACCGGTCTCTTTAAGTCAGAAGCGTAAGCCTGGCTCCTCTCCTTCCTCTTCCCCGGCGGGTAAGAAGGCTTCGCTTTCTTCCTCAGCTCCTCCTTCTGGCTCTGTTGCTCCTTCCACTCCCGTTTCAGTGCTTGCGCCCCCTGTTCCTGCTATGGAGGTTTCTTTGGCCCCTGCTTCCCTTTCGGTTGCTGCTCTTGCTGGGGTGCGCTCCTCTCTTTCTACTCCCCCTCTTCCTGCTGCTGTCCTTGACTGCTCCTCTCCGTTGTCTCCTCCTCCTCCTCCTCCTCCTCCTCCGGACCCTGCCCGCCCACCTCTGATCTGTTCTCCCGTTTCCTTCCCTCCGTCTTTGCTCAGTTTACCCATGCCCCCTAACCCTGACTTTGCTGACCCTGATCCCGACCCTGATATTCTTTAACGTGCTCTGTTGGTCTTTCGCCTTTGTTTCTTCCTTGTTCTCTGTTTTTGTCCTTTCTCTTCTCGTCGTTGTCCATTCTTCAATGGAACGTTCGAGGTTATTACGCCAATTTCCTCGAACTCCAACTTCTGGTTTCGCGGTTTTCGCCCCTTTGTGTCTGTCTCCAGGAGCCGATGCTTGGTGCTCGTCCTGGTCGTTTTCGTGGCTATTCCTTTCTCTCCCCCCCCCCAGCCATTGCTGGGGCTTCTAATTCTTCTGCTCTCTTGATTCGGGCTGATGTTCCCTTTGTTCCTTTACTTTTTCCTTCGCCTCTCCATTGTTCTGCTGCTCGTATCTTTGTGGGGAAATGGTACACAGTTTGTTCCATTTATCTCCCCCCGGGTGTCCCGCTCTCTCTTCCTGATTTGAAACACCTCCTAGACTCCTTGCCGGAGCCTGTGCTCCTGCTGGGTGACTTCAATTGTCGTCATTCTCTTTGGGGTGACGTTCTGACGAATACCCGGGGTCGCCTCCTTGAGCCGTTTCTCCTCTCTTCTTCCCTGTCTCTTCTGAATTCTGGTGAGCCCACTCATTTGGACTCTCGAACTCGCACCCTTTCTTGTCTTGATCTTTCTCTCTGCTCTTCTTCTCTTTACTTAGATTTCACATGGCAGGTTCTTGATGACCTCCATGGAAGTGATCATTTCCCCATCCTTGTTTCCTTTTTCTCTTTTCGCCCTTCCCTCTCTTTCCCTAGGTGGCAGTTTGCTAAGGCGGACTGGACCCTGTTTTCCCTCAGTGCTACTCTCTCTGACCTCTCCCTTCTGCCCCTCTCTCGCGCTCTCCTCCTTTTTCATGACACTGTCTTCGACGCTGCCCTCCGCTCTATTCCTCGCTCTTCCTCTCGGGGTCCACGGAAGTGCGTTCCCTGGTGGAATGCGGACTGTGCTCGGGCTGTCCGCTGTAAGCGTGCAGCCTGGAAGAAGCACCGCCGTAGGCAGACGACCGATTCTTTTCTTTTCTTTCGGAAAGCGAGTGCGGTGGCCCGTAGGGCCATCCGTACGGCTAAACGTGAATGTTGGGCATCTTATGTCTCGACAATTACGTCCGAAACCCCTCTGGCCCAGATCTGGAAGCGTATCCGCAAGATAGCGGGTAAGTTCGTTCCCGATGTTTCACCGGTCCTTCACCTCCATGATACTCTTGTGGCGGACCCGTTGCAGGTCGCTTCCGAACTGGGTTCCCACTTTTCTTCTGTTAGCTCTGGTCTTCATCTTCCCCAATCTTTCCTTCTTCGTAAACCTGTCCTTGAGTCTCGTCCTTTAGATTTCTGCACTCATCTTCAGCTTCCCTATAATGATCCCTTCTCTCTCTCTGAACTTCGTTCTGCCCTGGCCCTCTGCGGTTCTACGGCGGCGGGCTCCGATGGTATTCATTATGAGATGCTTCGCCATCTCCCTCCGAGCACGTCTCAGTATTTACTGAGTCTGTATAATCGGATCTGGGAGTCGTCGTCAGTCCCTGAGGACTGGCTCGATGCCGTTGTCCTCCCTGTTCGCAAACCAGGGTCTCTGGGTACTTCCCCTAAGGACTTTCGCCCTATTGCTCTCACAAGTTGTGTCTGCAAACTCTTTGAACGTATGGTTAACGTTCGTCTGATGTGGTTCCTGGAACACCATCACCTCCTCTCCCCTTCTCAATTTGGTTTCCGCAAGTGCCGCAGCACGACAGATGTCCTGGTGAACTTGGAGGTCTATATACGTACTGCTTTTGCTGCGAAGACCTCCGTTGTTGCCGTCCTTTTTGACCTAGAAAAGGCTTACGACACCACTTGGCGTTATCATATCCTATCTCAACTTCATTCTTTTGGCCTTCGTGGTCATCTCCCTCTCTTTCTCCGCAGCTTCCTCTCTCGTCGTTCCTTTCGGGTGCGCCTTGGTACCGCTCTCTCTCCCCCTTTTCAGCAATACGAAGGTGTGCCCCAGGGTAGTGTTCTGAGCACTACTCTTTTTCTGGTTGCCCTCAATGGTCTTCTTTCCTCTCTTCCTTCTGGTGTCTTCTCCGCTCTCTATGTCGATGATCTTACCCTTTGTTGTCAGGGTGATGATTCGCCTCTCCTTCAACGCCGGCTTCAACTTGCGATTGATGCCGTGTCGTCTTGGGCCACAGGTCATGGCTTCAAGTTCTCTACTTCTAAGACTTGTGCCATGACTTTTACGCGGAAACGGGTTGTTCTTCGTCCCTCTTTGTCACTTTATGGTCATCCCCTTGAATACAAAGATTCCGCGAAGCTTTTGGGGTTATTCCTTGACACTCGTTTGTCTTGGTCTCCCCATATCTCTTACCTCCGTGTTGAGTGCTCTAAGTCCCTTACCCTCCTTCGGGTCTTGTCCCATACTTCTTGGGGGGCAGATAGGCGCACTCTCCTTGCTTTACATTCCTCTCTCGTCCTGTCTAAGCTCGATTATGGTTGCCCTGCTTACTCGTCTGCTTCTCCTTCTACTCTTCGCCGTCTTGATGCTTTGCACCATACTGGGTTGCGCCTCAGTTCTGGTGCCTTTCGTTCGACTCCCGTCCTTAGCTTGTATGTTGACACTGGCTTCCTGTCTCTCCAGGACCGCCGTGATCGCTACTGTCTTCGCTATCTTGCGCGGTCCTTGCAACATCCTTCCTCTCGTCTCTGTCGTGCTTTAACTTTTACCCCTCCTGCGGTTCCTGTTCCTCTTCACCACCTCCCTCTTTCTGTCCGGTTATCTCGCCTGCAGGATTCTCTTTCCGTTCGTATTTCTGATGTTTCTCCTCGTGTTGTTCCTTCTTTGCCCCCGTGGAGGGTCCCTCTTCCGCGGTTTTGTACATCCTTGACTCGTATCACTAAAGCTTTTACCCCTCCTACAGTTCTAAAACGCCTTTTCCTCGAGCACTTTTCTTCTCACTCCCGCTCCGTTTCTGTCTTCACCGATGGGTCTAAGTCAGCGGACGGTGTTGGCTACTCTGTTGTTTTTCCTGATCGCACTTATATGTGTCGCTTGCCTCCGGAGACTAGCATCTTTACAGCGGAACTTTATGCTATTCTCTATGCTCTTCGTCTCCTGCTTTCTCGTTGTCAGTCTTCCTTTGTGGTTGTTGTTGACTCTCGTAGTGCCCTCATGGCTCTCGGGTGCTTTAATCCAGTTCATCCGGTAGTTGTCGAGATCCAGCATTGGCTGTTTCTCGTTCACAGTAAATTTAAGTCGGTTGAGTTTTGTTGGGTTCCCAGCCATATTGGCGTGTCTTTAAATGAGCGTGCGGATGCTGCCGCTAAGGAAGCTGTCCGCTCTTGTCCCATCTCTCGTAAAGGCATTCCGTATTCCGACTTTTACCCGGTTATCCATTCCTCAGTCCTTACCCGTTGGCAGGCTTCTTGGTTGTCTGTTACTGGTAACAAGCTACGTACTCTTAAATGTTGTGTTTCCTCGTGGCCGTCCTCCTTCCACCGTAACCGGCGGTGGGAAACAGCTCTAGCGAGGTTGCGTATTGGCCATACTCGCTTAACCCATGGTCACTTGATGGAGCGCCGCCCTGCTCCTTATTGTCCTAGTTGCATTGTCCCTCTTACGGTCGTGCATGTCCTTCTTGAATGTCCTGACTTCCAGGACGAGCGTGTGTCTTGCTTTCCGACCGCCCCTCGCGGTCACCTGTCCCTCGATAGAATTCTTGGTGACTCGGATACTTTTGATATCGTTCGCCTTATGCGTTTTTGTTCTCGTATTGGCATCCTTGGTGATATTTAGCGCCCTCTGATTATTTTGCGTATTTGATGGTGCTACATAGCCTTCCCGGTTTGGTGCCTTCTTTTGATAATTACTTACTTACTTTATTAATATTAATGTATTACAGGTCTCACTTGAAATTACTATATTCGCTTAGTTAAATAATTTAATTTGAATTCGATTACAGATACGTCATGAATCAGGATTCCATTGGTTTATTGCCATGTGCTATTGCTAGCCATGAGCGTGGCTCTTCTGAATGTCACTTGACAACCTACACTCCCAACAAAGGCTTGAAGTTTCTAAAACAGTATAGTGCAGAAGATCAAAAACTGATAGCAAAGCGAAGTGAACTGAACTTGGATGGTGAATCTCAAATATGCCTCCATCATGAAGCTTTGCTGTTGACGAAATTTGAATTTTTGCAAAAAACTTGCTGCAATCCCTTCAAGAAGAAATGCCATGTAAAGCTAAAAGGTTTGCGACCAATCACAGTAGCTACTGCAGAGAAAATGTCAGATATGCTGAAAGTCAGTATTAAGCCTGGCCAAAAGTTGTGCACATCATGCAGAAAGGAATTCGACAGTAAGCAGGTAAGTGAGTCCAGCTCTACTGAATCTGATGGCCCTGCTGATAATATGGAAATCTGTAAAAGTGTAAACACAAGTTTATCAGTATTAGGTATCTCACCTATTAAATATCAATAAGTTAGTGCAAGGGATAAGCATGGTTATGCAAAGCCTAAGATTAGCCAAGCACAGGAAATAACTGCCGAGCAGATTGCTGCAATTGGAAATATTGATTGCCAAAACTTGTTGGTACCAAGCTCCAGCCAACAGTGCACAAATTGCCAACACTTCAATAAACTCATTGAAGAAATGAAGCTAAAATTCTATGTAGCAAAGCACCAACAAAAAATACAAATCCTAACCCTTGTGCCACAAAGCTGGTCTATCAAAAAGACAATGGAGCAATTCAAAGTTTCAGAATACATGGTTCGCGAAGCTAGGAAGCTGAAAGAAGAACAGGGAATACTGGTACTAGCAATTCCTAAGAAAATGCAGGGCAAGTCAGTTCCTGAGGAAGTGAAGGAAAGGACAGTACAGTTTTTTGAGGGTGAAGAATTTAGTCGAATGTGTCCCAGAAAGAATGGAAAGAAAAAAAGTCATGATCAGTGCACAAAGAAGATGGAGAATCATAATTTCAATTTTTTCGATATCGCACAAAGGAATGTCATTTTCAGAGTTCTCTGCCTGAACTAGGAATTCAGATCCCAACCTAAATAAAAGTTACTCTTGTTCAGAAAAATCTGCTCTATCCAATGGTGTCATTCAAAACCAAATTGGGAATGATGCATATTGAGATATTTTGCCTTGAAAGTTACCTAGTTTTGCACATAAAAAAATTTTGGCCAACTTTCAAGTGGGCCACTTCTGGACATATGGATACAACAGAGTTGCTATTGCATCACTGCATAATGTTGTGCTTGTTATACATCGTAGCAAAAGATCATGGCATTTAGACCTTTTGCTGATGAGTAAGTGGTCTCCAAATTGGGGTCCAAATTTCTTGCAACAAAATTTGGCAGTGATTTTAGCATGGATGGAGAGCTGAATGGCCACCCATACTGCTTTTTCAATTACACTACATTATTCTACACCAAAAGTTGTCCTGGTATGTCAAATTTCACACTCTTACAGGCAATAGAAGTGATTTAACAAAGGGTCAAATTTGGTCATTTTTGTGGTACAGTACTTACGCATTAAAGGGACGAGAGCCCATTGAATATAGACCTGTTATTTAAGAAGCAAAGCAGATTGAGCTCTAATATTTTGCAGTGACATTTGGGGTCTAGCGCTATCTTACTACAAAATTTCATGGCATTTGGAGAGGGTCGAGTGGGAGCCATAGATGACTTTTTGGTGATTTGAGATTGAATGACTCTGGAGCCAAACGATATAATACAGATTAACCCTTGGGTTGGCCAGCTATTAACACTTTGGCGTACCCCGCGCGCCACCCTTCAACTGTGCGATATGGGACCCAGGGTGTCACGGGAGCGCGTGTAAATTCTGAAAAGTGTATACAGTGGTACCTCGGAATGCGAGTGTCCCTGTATGCGAGTTTTTCGGAAGACGAGCAGGATTTCCTCCAAAAATATGTCTCGGAAGGCGAGGGTAACCTCGGGACGCGAGTTTGTTGATACGCGTACAGGCCGACCTAGCGCGTGGTGGTTCGGCGATCGTCGCCCCTCTGCCCCGCCGCCCCTCAGTTTACCATTGTCTCGCGCTCAGTGACTACCCCCACATCAATTCTTCTCGCGGATTTTCAGTGTTTTGTTGGATTTTTGGTGATTTGTCTATACAATTTGTTATTATATATCTCACCATGGGTCCCAAGAAAGCCAGTGGTAAGGATAAAGGCCAGAAAGCTCATGTGAGGATGACAATAGAGGAGAAACAAGAGATCATTCGGAAGCATGAGAACGGTACACGTGTTGTTGAACTTTGTAGGCAGTACAACAAAGCCACATCAACAATATGCACTATACTTAAGAAGAAAAATGAGATTATGGGTGCTAAAGTGGCAAAAGGAGTAAGAACAATAACGAAACAAAGACCACAAATACTTGAAAAAGTGGAAAAGTTGTTATTAATTCGGATACACGACAAGGAGTTAAGGGGTGATAGTGTTTCGGAGGCCATTATTTGTGAGAAAGCCAGGGTGTTGCACGAAGACCTTCTAAAGAAGACCCCTGCAACGAGTGATGCAGATAAGAAAGAGTTTAAGGCAAGCAGGGGCTGGTTTGAAAAATTTAGGAAGAGAAGTGGTATCCATAGTGTTACAAGGCATGGGGAGGCAGCCAGCTCAGACAAACCAGCCGCTGGACGATTTATTGACGAATTTAAAGAGTTTGCAGAGACTGGGGGATACCTACCGCAACAAGTGTTTAATTGTGATGAAACAGGACTGTTTTGGAAAAGACTGCCTAAGAGGACATACATTACCAAGGAGGAAAAATCCTTGCCTGGACACAAGCCTATGAAAGATAGGTTTACGCTTGTGCTGTGTTCAAATGCGAGTGGCGATTTGAAAATTAAACCCTTGCTATTGTATCATTCTGAAAATCCAAGGGTTTTCAAACAGTATAAAGTGCAGAAAACCCATTTGTGTGTGATGTGGAAGTCTAAAAAAAAAAGCATGGGTGACTAGGCTTATTTTTTCGGAGTGGGTGAATGAAGTGCTGTGCCCTGCCATAGAAAAATATTTGCAGGAGAAACATTTGCCACTCAAAGCCGTGCTTCTCCTCGACAATGCTCCTGCTCATCCACCAGGCTTGGAAGATGATTTGTTGCCCAGATACAATAAATTCCTCACAGTTAAATTCCTTCCTCCTAACACCACTCCTCTAATTCAGCCTATGGACCAGAAAATCATAGCGAATTTTAAGAAACTTTATGAAAGGGCACTTTTCCGGAAATGTTTTGAAGTGACTGAAGCCACAAACCTCACCCTCAAAGAGTTCTGGAAACAGCATTTTAACATTTGTAGTGCTTTAAAACTCGTTGACAAAGCCTGGCAAGAAGTGACTCAAAGAACCCTGATCTCTGGCTGGAGAAAATTGTGGCCTGAATGTGTGAGAGAACTAGACTTTGAGGGGTTTGAGCCTATAAATGATGCGCCTATTGTTGAGGAAATTGTTAGTCTAGGCCAGCAAATGGGCTTGGAATTGGATGGTGATGATGTGGAGGAGTTGGTGGAAAGAACACAACGAAGAACTGACCACCGAAGAACTCCTAGCCCTTCAACAGGAACAGCAAGCCAACGCAGCAGCGGATGATTCTGCAGTGGAGGAGGAGGTGGCAGCAGCAGCAGCGAATGTCCCTTCTGCAGTAATTAAGAAGGTGTGTCAGATGTGGGAAGAGATTCAAACAATTGTTGAAAAGACTCACCCAGAGAAAGCTGTAGTAGGCCGTTGTCTTAATCTTTTCAATGACAATGTGATGCCTTACTACAGAGAGAGCTTGCGAAGAAGGGAAAAGCAAGCTTCCATGGACAGATTTGTGGCGAGGAAATCGAGCAGTGAGCCTCAACCAGGACCTAGTGGCACTCAGATAAAACGTCCCAGGGAGAGCACACCAGAAAGGTCCTCACTGCCTGATGTGATAATGGAAGGGGAGTCCCCTTCCAAACAGTAACTCCTCTCCTCCTCCCCCCTGCTCACCATCTTTCATACGCCTACAGCACTCGACAGCAAGGTAAGTAATAACTGGAACATAGTTTTGTAGGTTTATTTAGATGAATTAGGTATAAAAATTTAGTTTGATGTGGGTTTTTTGGGGTAGTCAGGAACGGATTAATTCATTTCCCTTTATTTCTTATGGGGAAATTAGCTTCGGAATGCGAGTTTTCGGAATACGAGGCGTTACAGTACCACCTCGATTCAACGCACTATATGGGACCAACCCAAGTGCGTTGGAGCGTTGGATTCGTTGCAAGAGGTGACCTTCAAGAGGCGTTTGTGTCAGTCTTTTTTTCTTGTACACAATAAAAATGCATTATCATATTATATACTGTACCTATATATTACTACTCTACTAAAAATACTGTGTTACATTTGTTATTTACCTTATTGTTGGAGTTACTGTATGTCCATCTTTAAGTCTCGTGAAGTTGTGAATGCTGTACAGTAAATACGTACTGTAGTGTATTATGCCATTAGCACTTTGTTGATTAAGTAGTTCTGCTGTAGGTTAAGTACTACAATACAGTTTACGAAAACTATTGTACACTAAAATTACTGCAACTTTAATTTTAACACTATGTACACACATAAATTTAACACTTGTTCTAACTGTTCACTCCACACATGATATTTTTAGATGTTTGCATTAGCTTTGCTGGTGCTCGCTGCTGCTGTGTTGGTTTCAGCTGCTTCTGAGCTGGTGCAGGCTGCTGTTATACTGGTGCTGGGTACGGCTGTGTTGGTGCTGGGTATGGCTGTGCTCGTGCTGGGTACGGCTGTGCTCGTGCTGGGTATGGCTGTGCTCGTGCTGGGTATGGCTGTGCTGGTGCTAGGTACGGCTGTGCTTGTGCTGGGACCAGCTGTGCTCGTGCTGGGTACGGCTGTGCTGGTTGATTTTCTGCTACTAGTTCTTGAAAAATATTGACTCATTTTTGTTTGTTTCCTTCCTTATGTCATGTTCTTGAGACAAATATCTTTTATCATCCTTAGGTGTTGATAAAAGCTGGTGGGTTATTACGATTATTCTTCCACCAGCGGACAAACACGTCACTCGCAGACAAAGCTAACGGCACTGGGTGCCTACTGTATGAACGCAGACTAGGTCTATACACCTTGCAGTAGGCTGGTGTTTAAGCCAGATCCAGTAACATAAATTTCTCTCAAATATTGGATTTACATCAAATTATATATTTTTGGGTTATATATTTAGTTTAGTAACATTGTTAGGATAATAAGAGAGATAAAGAACTTATTTTAGAACCGATTTATTAATTTTATTATTTCGAGGCCGTAGTCACTGAACTGTGGCGACGAAATCGAATGAAACACGCATGGTACTGTGTGTACAAGGATTAGACCCATCCCCTCGTGCTGGAGTTGTTGTTTCAATAACAAATAATTTCTCAAATAGCAGATGCTATCATATTACAGTATATTTTCATCAGTTTTATTTAGTTTAGT